TGTATAATACGTCGTATCATGTTTTTTGTTTTGTGTAGTGGATGGGCAAGATTATGCAGTTGGGACACCGACTTTTTGAGGAAAGGGACTGCATGACGAGTGCATCAGGCAGAGCTGTTATAGACGATCTGGAACGGACCCTTGAGCAGTGGCAGTGGGCGTCACAGAGGGATTACTGATATTTGAAATTAGACATTATCTTTTTAGTTTGTAATATTTGAAATTATTGTTCTTAGTTTTTAAAATTCAATATTATCTTTTTAGTTTGTAATATTTGAAATTATTGTTGTTAGTTTTTAGAATGAAACATTATCTTTTAAAAATGAACACATAGAAATGACATAGTATTGACAATACAAGGCCTCATAGTAAAAGGTAGGTGTACATCAACAAAAACTACATGGCAATTAAATTGTTCCACTGTTGCACGCGAGCATGGTACAAAGCATCCCAACCCTCCACGCTTGCTCTACGAATTTCATACCACTTCGGTATGATATTTGGGACCGGAAAATCGGGTGACATGTCTAATCGGATAAAATGTCTGTATGACGGCCCAAGAAATCCAATAGCAACGTCCCTTACCGGTCTGGTGACGGTCTCGCGCGAACACCAGGGCAGAACCGTTGTACATGGATAATAGGCTCGACTATGTAAACCAAGGCCGAAATGCATGACTGCACACTTGTAGATGTTTGCAACGGCAAAAAGATCAAGTGGCGCATCGAACCAATGATTTTGACCGCAAGGTCCCCCTCCCCACCGGATACGCTGCAGAGACCTATCCAAGTCCTCGCCGTACACATGGCCATACACATCTCGGTTTGATGCGATTTCACTGTACATCAACTGCCGCACTAAACCGTAGTTGTCTTCACCCATTTGAAACACATCCGCCACAACCCGAAATCCGCAGTTACCATCTGCAATGACATCATTCCACCCGTCCAAGAATGGCATCATGATATTAGGGATCCTGTCCTTATATGGAAAATGTTCAATGTCCATTCTCCCTGTTACACACATCAATAAACACAATAAACAAGTCAACAGTAAACTAATCAAACAGTCAACAAAAGAAATTGAAGTCGAATGTCTTACCGGTGCCGGGCATATTCACCGACGACGATGATTGGCTGCCACTTGATGAGGATGTACGACCACGGCCACGGCCACGACCGCGAATGTACTCAAACGCACTCTTGTTCCGCCGTGGTTGTCGACCCCTAGGTCGCTCGACCCCTTCCGGTTCCTCGGTATCCAAACACGATGTATTGAACATGTCATGAAGTATGTGTGTAGCACTACGAATGATCGAAGGGTGACTGGAGGACACTTGGTCAAACATCATCTGAAACTGCTCCAACTCCTCCTGTTCACGGTGAACCGTATGCGGAACAGCATGCTCTCCGATAACGAGCGTCCGCCAGAATGGATGAACCTGATCGACATGTAACGACGCCTTGTCTTGCGTAATTACGCGGTGAATGGTGCATGCACAAGGTAATCCATGAGTCATTGATATAGCACATCCGCACCGAATAGCCACTTCATCGCCCAACTCCCTCATCCTGGTATACTCGCTCAGAATCAACCCCAAACAGTGGTGTGACACACGACCGTGGAGAATCTTAAATATGAAATGGCCATACAACATGCCATGTCGTCGTCTGGAGTCCTCGAGATAGTTCTTGATGCCGTTCCTCTGAGTATCAATAGCCTTATTTATTCTCTCGAACAGTGTATCCAGAGCAGCCGTGGAAGAATCAATCCAGTCCTTCAAAGCTCTATGAGCGCCCTCGACTCTGCATGTCGTAATGTTCCCAAAATGAAGAACTTGGTTCGTCCAATATTTGACAAACTTTTCCCTCTGAGGTACCCACTGATGCATCACATAGTCTACGATTGGCGGGCACCACTTGTACGCATCCTTGAAGTTTTCCAAGGCTCGATCGTATTTTGCCTCTGTGGTAGCTTGCATGATCTTCCGCCACTTACCATTTACCAATGTCTCTGCTGTTACTAAATTCTTGTTGAAAAGATTGTAGGCTTTGACTTTCACGCAGTTGTTGATGTGCCATGTGCACAGTAAATGGCTCGACTCCGGAAACAGCTCCGCTATAGGGGCAAAAAGACCTCCCTCACAATCACTTACGATGGCCGATGGCTGTACATTTGGGCCGATGTAGTTTCTCAACTTTTCCAACACCCAATGGTAACTCGCAGCCGTCTCATCCTTCATGACTGCATAACCAATCAGAAAGTTCTGGTTCGTTGGAGCCATCCCAACCATCTCAACCAGTGGGAACTTGTACTTGTTTGTCTTGTACGTTGAATCGATCTAAATCACAGATGGCCAAGACGAAATCATATCAGCACAATCAGGATGGACAAGGAACAAATGAGTTACCTCCGATGTGTCTTCGTCAGATTCAAACCAGTAAAGGTAACCACGTGCTTGTGCCTGGTGCAGAAGCTGCTGTATAGGGTTCCTTCCCTCTGACCGTTCAAACCTCAATTTCTGTCTGACGTTGTAGATGTGTCTTCGGTTTGGCTGGTCTTCGGGGAATTTCTCTAACACAGACGCTAATATTTTAGCGGGCTTCACTTGAGCATCACTCATTTCTTTTACAACTAGTTTCGCAGCTGGACTTAGGCCGCTTAACTGCCGATGCCCCACTTTGTATGCTATCAGCTCATGGTTGTGATATCCCCATTTGCCGTAACCCTTCACTTCCCAACCGTCACGCCTTTGATGTTGTCGAACCTTAACTCGGAACTGACACCCACAACCTTTCCGCTTTGAGTCAAACCGAATCGCTTTACTGAAATCTCGTTCTTCTCTTTTGCGATAACGGTCGCATCTCAAAATGCGATCCATTCTACCATCCCGTTGAGATTTATGAGTTGCTACTACTAAACAAAAGCCTGATCTAATTGCAACCTGTTTTGCCCAATCAATCGCTTGTTGAGCATCTTCGAACAGGCCATCATGTACAAAAATCCCACTGTAATCATTTCCGTCTCCACCATAATCCTGTAACAATAACATATAACGTATAAATATAATTACATTAAGATTAAATTAACAAAAAAAAAAAAAAAAAAAAAAGGGGATTAAATTAAAAAATAAAAAAAAAAAATAAAAAAAAAAAAATATTCCCCTACTGGCGCCTGGCCAGGACGCCGGAGCCACGGCCGGGGCGCCTGGTCAGGACGCCGGAGCCACGGCCGGGGCGCCTTGACCGTGGCTGCGGCGTCCTGGCCACGCGCCACTACTATGGTCGAGGCTTCTCCACCAGGCGCCGTGACCACGGTGGCGGCGTCCTGGCTAGGCGCCACAACCACGGCATGGCCTTTTGGCTAGGCGCCAGCCACCATTTCGTCCTTACGATGCGTTACGAACCTCGTTTTCCGATGACGACGGCGATTCTCCGGTGATCCTCGGCGATCCGGTGCTGCTCCACATTTTTTTAGTGCGAAAAATTTATCTTCGGTTAAAATTATAAAAAGGGCAAATTTGTCAAAAAATTATAAAATGTGGGCTTTATGTAGAGATTTGCGGGCGATGAATAACAAGTCCCTAGTAATAAGCCTGATAGGAGCTGAAAGAGGAAGATTAAAAGACGAAGACGCATCAGTGCATCACCATTAACGGAACCAAAAACCATCACCAACTTCCTCTTTCATCTCCTTACTCCTTTAATTAACAACCGGAATTCAATCATCATCTTATCTTCTTCTTCTACGAACTATACAACCACCGTACCAACACCGACATCAACCCTAACAGAAATTGAGTAATACATGGCACGGTGAACCCCAAAGGCTAAGTTTGCTTCCCCTCTTCCATTATTTTGTCCATTGAAAGCTTAAAATTGAGCTTTGATTTCCCTCTGCCATTGAAGCTACGAGATTTCCATTTTCCACCATTGAAGCTACAATAGTTAACTCACGAATTGACATAATTCTCCATTGTGAAGGTGTGGACTCACAAATCTACCTAAGGTTAACCAACCCATGGTTACCAACCATTAATTGACGTCAAGTAATAATTAATTGAAAAATACAATTATACCCTCTCATTTAAGTGGTAAAATTACGAAATTAACTCGAGATAAACGCATCTTGTTTATCTAGGGATAAACTTGAATTTCCTCGATTTCCAATACACATCTTTGATGATGAATTTATTTGATATGATTTGAGTAAAATAACTAAAATAATTATTAGGAAAATTTGTAAATATTAACTCAATTTTTTGACCGTCTGTTTTTATATATTGTGTCACAACCTTCTGCTTAATTCTGAACACGTCAACCTTATAAACGCATTAATTTTTATTATGTTAAAATAAAAAATGACTAGTAAAAACAGGTTAAATACTTATGTGGACTATTACCTGGGTTTGCTAGTGTGAAGTGTGAGCATGTGTTGTAACGACTAACGAGTAAGCAGTGGTGGAGGCTGGGCCGTAGTTTTAGAGTAAGAGGAAGAAATCAGTATGTTTAATGGAGTTAGGAGTATGAAGATGAAAGGAAGAATGGAGACAAGAAGGCCGGAGATGATTTACCTGGTTATCCTGTTTTCGAAAAAAAAAAAAAAAAAAAGAACGTAATGAAAATTATTGTTATGGAGTAATACAAGATTGACGTGTTTAGAAATAATTAAAAGGCTGACTTAATATTAACAAATTTTCCTAATTAATTATATATTATTTTGAAAATATATTTCAAGTCGAGTCTAATAAGATCCCACGTGATATGGTTTGATGTTTATAATAATGGTGAGTATTTATGGTCAAAGTTTTAAAAGTTGGCTCTAAAAGTTGTAACGTAAAGAATGAAAAGAAATTGAAGGAAGGACATAATCGACATTATTAAGGAATACACCCTTCATTCTCTTTTATCCATCGTTTTTTTTTTTCGATTTTCACAATTGCTAATGTACTCTAATTATAATTTTAAGCGTTTTATATCTCTAATTATATATAGAAAAAAAAAAAAAAAAAAACTTGGCTAGAAGCCTAGAATCATAGACCGTCTTTGTTCCTATTTAGTACTTTCCATGTCAGTGTTCATTATGACATTCATTGTAGTTGTCATGATGTCATCGTCTATTTCAATAAAACACAAGTTCGAGAATTTGGGGAATGTAACCAAATATAAAAAATCAATCAAATTATACGGAGTATTACTTTATATATATGATCTCCATCAAATGACAAAAATACAGGGTAATTAATTGATCAAATGACACTTTGACGAACTAAGCATCATCCTAAAACGATAAAAAAAAAAAAAAAAAAAAAAAAAAAAAAAAAAAAAAAACAGAACTTCAAACCCAAAAAAAAAAGTTGCAACTACCCACAACACTCAATTTTAATCATTATTAATCTCAGCATATTGAAAGAGATAAATGATCATCAAAACTCGAAAGAACAGGCTGAAAATTGCGATCAAATCCTTTCCCAATAAAGAAACACATCAAAGTTGAGGATTTGTGTAGAAGAAAGGTCCAACTTGGTAGAGTTCAGGGTGCTCTTTAGTTGGAGTTATAGGATCACCAAAGATGCCATGGTTTTCATCACTTGGCACAATGCAGTCGTTTGCGTCAGGGCCGGGGCTGTCAAGGTACACTCTGCAGTCATTGCTGAAACGATCGGATGGCAATTTGACGAGGAAGAAACCATTTTTATCTGCAAATGTTGACTTTGTCTGGAACAAGGGGCAGTACAGCTTTGCTGTTGCACCTGTCATTTTTATTGTCCACAATCTTATGCATCATTATTTTTTTTTCTTTTATGATCACATTAATAGGAAGTATAATTCAATAATAAATTAGGAAAAACAATGAAAAAAGTTTTTAAAAAATAGTGAGGGTATAATGATCTTTACATACTATCTAAAAATAGAAACAGGAACAATATTATGGGATAGAGAGAGTATTACATATAGCACTGTCAAAACGGTTTGACAGTTCGGTTTCGGTTCGGTTTGAAATCGGTTCGGTTTGAAATCGGGTCGGTTTGAAATCGGTTCAAATGTCTTACGGGTCGGTTTCGGTTCGGTTTAAATAATTATCGGTTCGGTTCGGTTTCGGTTTATTCTTGAACGGTTTAAATTCGGTTCGGGTTATAAACGGTTCGGTTAGTAAACGATTCGGTGCAAACGGGTTGCGGTTTGTTAACGGTTCGGTGTAAACGGTTTTTAACCCGGTTTAAATTCGGTTCGGGTTGTAAACGGTCCGGGTTGTAAACGGTCCGGGTAGTAAATGGTTCGGTGCAAACGGGTTGCGGTTTGTTAACGGTTCGGTGTAAACGGTTTTTAACCCGGTTTAAATTTGGTTCGGGTTGTAAACGGTTCGGTGCAGACGGGTTGCGGTTTGTTAACGGTTCGGTGTAAATGGTTTTTAACCCGGTTTAAATTCGGTTCGGTTTGTAAACGGTGCGGGTTGTAAAAATTCCAGGTAGTAAACGGTTCGGTGCAGACGGGTTGCGGTTTGTTAACGGTTCGGTGTAAATGGTTATTATCCCGGTTCAAACAGTTTCAGGTTGGAAACGGTTCGGTTGTTTTTTGGTTTAGTTTTATTTTAGTTCGGTTATAACTGGTTCGGTTCGTTCACGGGTTTGGTTCTTCTACGATTTAACATTATTTAGATCGGTTTTATTTCAGATTTACTAAATTACGGTTCGAGTCTGTTTTTGATTTCAAAAAATTTTGTACTACTTTCTAACTTTTTGCTAGTTAACAAGTTTTATATCAAGCCGAGACTTCATCACTTCATATTGAGGCATCATATTATATGCAAATTCTCATTAATTTTATAAATACATATCATGTTATGATTTAAGTTTAGCTATACTGATCTTACTAGTTTATTATGAAGTAGATTATAAAAGTTTAGTGCATTAATGTATTATTGTTTTACTATCAGATTATTATCTGCTTCTGATTTGATCATTTAGTTAATAGTGTCATAATCATGATTTGATGAGTTGTTGTGACATCGAAATTTGCAATTTGGTATTCGATACTTAATTAGTCAACAAGACTGATAATTAAGACTCGTTTATCATTATATATTTGCATAAAGTTATACATGAAGATATTACAGAGTAGTTTGATTTGTATAATGAAAGAAAACATTAATGAAGAATAAGGTAATGTTGATTCCTTCAATCGATTATACAGATACATAACATATAACCATCTCATATTCTCATAGTTAGATATTATTAGTATAAAGGGATGAGAAACATAAGATTATTATATTTTTGTATATCCTTTACTGGTTTACCCTTAAGGCTTAAGTCACTAATTAGTAATTAGTAATTACTTAATTAGACTAACAAGTTAATCAGAAAGAGTAACTTTTAACTTGAGTCTAGTAGATCAAATACTGAAATGGTATTAGTATATTACCGAGTATGATAGTCTAGTACGCTGCTAATCTGTTATGCAGCTATGCTAAATTGACAATTGCTCATATAGTCATATTAGTCAATCACTCATGTAGACATAACTCATATCTAATTAAGTAATTTGTATTTATGTACTAATCTACTAGTCAACTATATCATTTATAAGTTTACACGATTACAAGTGTATTGCTTATAGGTACAGCTAAACTGATATAAATATAACCATATAACAAATCCGTAGTACTTCTAACTCTCTAAGATATGACATCATTATTTATTGAACAATTTTCGATTTTTTATTAATCGCAACGCCTAGAAATTACACGCTAACCGATTCACATTTTATAATTTAAAGAACTTAATATTTTAATGTGTGTGTTAAAAAAAATTATAAAAGCTGATATTATGAAGGTGAATATCGTTTTATCGGGATCCGAGAAATGTAATTATTTTTTTTTAAGTCATGTAATTAATTAATTGTATAAAAGTTTGTTTAATGTTATTAAAATAAAATTAAAAATTTTGATTTTTACAAAGTGGAAAATTAATTTCATTTTTTTGGTTGACAATTTCAACAAAATATGGTGGGAAATTTCCCTCCAAAAACCAAAAGGAAAACCACATTTTAGATTTAGAATTTAGATATTTTGATTCTTTAATAATTAAATAAACATGTGGTTCATATATTATGCAAAAGAGAAAAAAAAAAAAAAGTGAAACGTGAAACTGTGAAAGACTGAAAGGCAATTAGGTTCTTCATTCATCCTCTTCATTCATCCTCTTCATTCCACAGCATTCACCGTTCTTCTTCTTCATCCTCAAATCGAAGCGTTGAATCCTCACTCACTCTCAAGTTCTCAACTCTCAAGCTCTGAACTCTTAGCCTTCAATAGCTCAAAGGTAAATTTTAGTTAATTGTTTTTGTTTTCGTTTCGTTTTTTTCGATTTTTTTTTCGATCTCTCCATTCTCGTTTTTTTTTTCATTCTCCAGTTCTCCATCTTCAAATCTTCCTCTCCTTCAAGCCGTCACTGCTCAAAGGTAATTTTATGTTAATTTTTTTGTTTTCATTTCGGTTTTATGTTGCTGATTCGTTGTTTGCAGGATTTGCATGTCTTTATTTTTTGATTTTTAATTCTGATTTGTTCATATAATTTCATATAATTTCTGATTTGTTCATATAATTTCTGATTTTTTGATGTTGTTCATGTAATTTTTAATTTTATTGTTCTTGTTGTTCATTTAATTTCTGATTTTTTAATTTTATTGTTCTTGTTGTTCATTTTTTGTTATATCTATTTGTGAGGTGTTCTGGCCTTACCAGCTTTGGCTATGCTCAGTTCTGATCAGGGTTGTGGTTGTAGTACCATGAGCAACAATTGAGTTGATTTGGTTACCTTATTCATGCTCGTGGTTTCTTTTCGTGTTATTAATTGTGCTTGGTTTTTTTCAGGCTGTTGTGTTGTTGCTGGTCTGCCTTTGTGACTGTTTGCTGTTTGTTGAGCATTTAAAATGTATGGCTTTGTCTATAATGCTCTATTAGTCTTCAAATATACTGAATGCTATCCTTTGTTCTATCAGCTGCATTGTTCTCTCATTAGTGTTTCTGTTTATGTGGGTTAATGCTGAATGCTAGCAGGATTTTTTGATTTAAGTTTGGGTTTTGTTTTGTTGCAAAAGTGCAAGTGCATTCAGATAGGAGTTGTCTAATAGTGTTTAGTATATTTTAGGACTGAATTGTAGATGGACTACCTCAGCTTAGAGCATGTAGTACTAGCTAGGGTCTGTCCTGTGCTGCTGCTGTTCTAATGTCTGGCCAGATCTGCTAGATGTACAAGGCTAGATTGTAGGATCTGCTGGGTGTTTTCTGCCCTGTTCAGAGCAGAGTCTTTCTGGCCATGGTTTGTGCTGTCCTAGTTGATGTCTCTGCTGCAGGCTGGGTGCTGGGGTTGGTTGCTGCTGGTTTTCTAGGGTATTGCAGCTGTGGTTTTGCTGTCGTCTTGTGTTAGCTGGGCTGTATTGTCTGTCTGTTGCTGGGCTAGGTTGCTGGTGTGCTTTGCTTGAAGCAAGCAGGTCCGGAGCTGCTGTGTTAATTTGCCTATTTTTTTTTATTTCCCCTTAATTTGCCTTTTTTTTCACTTGATTTATACTGTTGTGTTTTTGTTTTTTCAGCAATGGAGCAAGAGTTTATTGGTTTTGATGAGGATTCTACTGTAAAGAATCAAGATTCTACTGTTCAGAATCAAGATTCTACTCAACGTACCACTAGTGGTAGTAAGCGTGGACGAACATCAGATGTTTGGAGGTATTACACCTTTTTTGATAAGATGGTTGGTCTTGCTCCGATAAAATATGCTCGATGCAATGTTTGCGGTAATGAATATAAAACTCCAGGTAATGCTGGTACTTCAACTTGTAAAGCTCATACTAAGACATGCATGAATAAAAATCCACACCATCCTGGAAATCATGAAAGTGGTGTTGAGCTCCTGTTTAATCAAACACGTCATTTACAATTGCTTGCTAGAGCTATAATTTTGCATTCCTATCCTTTAAGTATTGTGGAGCATCATGGCCTTAGGGAAGTTTTTACGAATTTGAACCCCAACGTGAATCATGTGTGTAGAAACACTATTTTGAAACATTGTATTGATGAGCATGATAAGTTTAAGTCTTTGTTGTTGCAATCTTTTTCGGGAATTGAAGGTAAAGTTAGCTTCACTTGTGACTTGTGGACAGCATGTACTAATCGAGGTTATCTTACTTTAACGGCACATTATGTTGATAAAAATTGGTGTCTTAGGTCTAAAATTCTGAATTTTAGATATTGTGGTCCTCCTCATACTGGTGTTGAGGTAGAAAAATTTGTGTTAAAACTTATTGGGGAGTGGAACCTTCAGGGTAAAGCTTTTGCAATGACTGTTGATAATGCTCGATCCATGGATGTTATGGTTAACCTTTTGAAGAAAGATTTAATGTTGACTTCTCCTCTTCCTTGTAATGGTAAATTTTTTCATATTCGATGTTCAGCTCATGTCTTGAACATTATTGTTCAAAGAGGTTTAAAAGAAGTTGATAGTAGTGTTCAAAAATTGCGTGAGGTTTGTAAATATATTGATTCTTCAGATTCTAGACTCACTCAATTTGAGCATGCTCTTCATGAGGTTAACTGTGTGTTTAATGGAAAGTTACGTCTTGATGTTGTGACTCGTTGGAATGCCACATATACGATGATTCGAAAAGCTTTGGAAGCAAAGGAAGCCTTGAAATTGATATTGATAGGTTTATAGGTTATGAATTCAAACTTTCGAATGATGAATGGGATACCCTTACTAAAATATGTAATTTCCTAAAGCCATTTCATGAAATCACTGTGTTATTTTCTGGTTCAGAATATCCTACTGCAAATTTGTATTTTGCTAGTGTTTTAAAAATTGAGCACACAATAAGTAAAGCCCATATAGATCCTAAACTTGCACCCATGGAAAAAGTTATGCTTGAAAAGTTTGAGGGCTATTGGGATGAATATAGTTTGATCCTATCAATTGCTATTGTTCTTGATCCTCGTTATAAGCTTGTTCGAGTGATGAAGATGTTAAAAGTGCTATATGTTGATGAGGCATGTGTTGAAAAGGCGAAGGTGATTAAAGATGCTCTTTTGGAGTTGTATAACTTTTATTCTTCTTTGTCTTCCGGTTTTACATCAAGTACAAATGCTCCACCCTCCATCCCAGCTGTTATCGAAAATTCAAATAGTCACTTGGATGATGATATATTCAAGGTAATCAATTTCTGATTATTGTGGTTTACAAAATTAATAATTTTATGTTTTAATTTTATTATTTAATAAAAGCATTTTGTTTGAACTTTTCTAGTATGTTGATAATGATGATGATGAGGAGGATGACACATCAAATCGGCCATCGATGGAGATTGATTCTTATTTGTGTACTCCTCGACAACCAATTTATGAAGGGCAGAAGTACGATGTTCTTAAGTATTGGGAATCTCAAAGTAGTGTGTACCCCATATTAGCTGTTATGGCTAGGGATGTTTTGGCCATTCCTATTACATCGGTAGCCTCAGAGTCTTCTTTTAGCATGGGTGGTCGTATTTTAAACAAGTATAGGAGTGCGCTTTTGCCTAAGAATGTTGAGGCGTTGGTGACTACACAAAATTGGTTACGTGGTTATGATTGTGATATTGAAGAAGACGTCCTTGAAATTGGTAAAGAAGTTATAGATGAAAGTTTTGCATCTAATTAAGAAGACATGGATGTTGTATTGTAGTGAACTAGTGATGCTTAATATATATTGTGTTGCTTCATTGCTAAAATGTTTTAATCTCATAGAACAAGTATTAATAGTTTTAGTCACATTACATATTGATATGTTGTTCCTTTTTTTATCTCGAGTTATTGGTTATTATTTATGTCCCGCTAAATATTCATCTTGACCTGCAACCGACTCACTTCGTAAATGATCTGCATCAACCCACACTGACCCACCCAATAACCACTCCTAGTAGTAAGTAGTTTGTAAACGGTTCGATTTATAAGGATTCGGTTCATAAACAGTTCGGTTTATAAATGGTTCGGTTTATAAACGGTCCGGTTTATAAACGGTTCGGTTTGTAAACGGTTCGGTTTGTAAACGGTTCGGTTTGTAAACGGTTCGGTTTATAACGGTTTTTATGCCAGTTTAAACGGTTTCGGGTTAGAAACGGTTCGATTTATTTTCGGTTCGGTTTCTTTTCCAGTTCGGTTTAGATTTGGTTCGGTTCTAAAACAGTTTAACATTACTCGGATCGGTTCGGTTTCGGGTTTACTAAAATGCGGTTCGGGTCGGTTTTCGGTTTTAAAAAATCGGTTTTTAATCGGTTCGGTTCTCATTCGGATCAGTTTGAATCGGTTCGGTTCGGTTTTTGACAGTGCTAATTACATATGTCAATGTCTGTTATTTTGAAAACTTAACACCTCCTCACTATGCTACGTCACTAACTCAATTCATTTTTATGTCATGTAATCTACTCAATTAGTACTTCCTCCGTTATGTGTACCAAATGTTGCACGTTTCCCAAGACAAATTTTGTTAATAGGTGATTAATAAAGTAAAGGGTTTGTGATTAAGGGTATGAGAGAGAAAGAGGAAAAATTAATCAACCACCACTACCACCCACAAGTAGCGACATCCACCACGCCCACCACCCACCAGCAGCAACATCCACCACGCCCAACGCCCACCACCCACCACGCCCAATACCCAACAGCAGCAACATCCACCACCACTCACATCTACCCACACCCCGAAACCACCACCACCTCATCTCGTAATCACCATCTCACCACCACCACCCTATCCCGTCTCATCACCATAACCACCCAAAACCCACTCCAGACAACTCGTATCAACACCGCAACTCGTAACCCAGTCACCACCGCCAAGATCCGAAACCCCAACCCACCCAAATCGCAGCAACAACTAAGATCTGAAACCCCTCCATAACCAACCTCAACAAATTCGCAGCCACAACCTCCATAACCACCGAAAACCAACCTCAATCGATTTTTAGGTTTCAATTTTGAGGATGATCGGCGGCTATAAAAAGGGGGAAAAGAGTCGGCGACGACTTTGACGGGGGAAAAGAAGCCTAGTGACTCGATCGGTGGTGGTTTTCGAAGAAGAATAAAGAAAGAGAAGCAGCTTTTGGGTTCCGTGTGGCTGGTCGAAAATTTTCTAGGAATTTCAGGGTAGCAGCGATGGACCCGTTCAAGGTTATAGGTGGCTGGCTGGGTGGGAGATTTCGGCCAGGGGCTGGGGTCGTGGCAGTGAGAGAAGAGAGTGAAAAGTAGTTGTGGTTGTACGTGGTGGTGATGGTTGCTGTGGTGGTGGTTGTGGTGGAGGTGAGAGAACACTTGGTGATGATGGCAGTGGATAGGTTGTGAGGGAGGAGAGAGATTAAGATTAGGGATTAAATCATAAATAAATTAATTTGGTTTAATATAATAATAACATATAATCTTATTAATTTAATGTGTGTTATTGAACTTAAGTAAGGGTACATGGGTCATTTTACACAAAAATATTTACCATAAATGGAAATTTTTACTTTGTTGCACATAATGTGTAACATCCGTTTTTGGAAATTGTTGCACATAATGCGTAACGGAGAAAGTACTTTGGATGAGAAGGTTTAAACACTTGAGCTCTTGGAAAGAGCGTTATTATTTGACCAGTTAGGCTAATAGCTAATTATGATTTAATGTTGCACACTAAATAATATTATACTGTACGTAAAAGAATTGAAAATATATACTACATAAATACTATTAAATGCTTTTAAAAATTAACAGTTTCACAACTATATAAAGTAGTATTTTGGGCAACGTTCGGACTACTCACTAGTTGTTTTCAAAAAGTTGTGACATAGTGGTAAAGCATTGTCTTTGGAAATTGAACAAAGTTAGGAGATCAAACTTTGGTCCCTAACTTTTTGGCCCAATATTCGTCATTGGCTATAGAATCACAATTTTTCTCTCAAAAACAGTATTTTAGACCCATCATTATTATCTACAATTCACCTCATGCAGCCAAAATTAATTAAGTATAGTAAACATACACTTACCGGAGCTATAGGGCAAAAATAAGGGGACGGAGGGAGTAGTATATATTATAAAATATGCAATACAAGAAATTGTGTTGTTTACCTTCCAATGGAATCCATTTACTCTTATCATTATCCCTTATGCAGGAGATGAGACCTCGAACAACAATATCACTTTTCTTTTGGGTTACAAATGGTACAGTTACGCTAATGTCGACGGTAACGGGGTTGTTAACAGCAGACGCAATACCAAGAAATGCAATAACAACAATGGTGGCTAATAAGACTTTAGAATAAGCCATTGCTGTAAAATTAAAATTTTTGTTTTTCAACCTTAATATTTTATAAAATCTTCTCTATTTTTTTTTTTTTTTTTTGGGTGCTAAAAATGTTATATCTGTCTTGTTATTTATACTACGAAGTAGTATGCATGTATTCTCTTATTTGCATGATTAGTTATTAGTATAACAATTATTTAATATACTTGGTATTTGCTGGATTTATTTTGACGGCCTGCGGGCGTTTTAGTTAAGCTCACGTTTTATAGCCGGCCCAAATATATGATTTGCACAGCACTAAATATAATTAGGGGTGGGACTTTTCAAACCGAACCGTAAAACCGTCCGTTACCGAACCGAACCATCACGGACCGAACCGTTTATAACCCGCTAATTTTAAACCGAAAACCGAACTGAACCGTATAATGTCAAACCGAAACCGAACCGAACCAATTAATGTTAACCCGTTACGAACCGTAAACCAATAACAAACCAAACCGTTTATAAACCGAAACCGTTTGAACCGATTAATGTTAACCCGCTAACTAATTAAACCGAACCGTTTATAAACCGAAACTGTTTAAACCGTAGGAAAAAACCGTTTAAATCGAATCATTTACAACCCGCTAACCGTTTTAAACCGAACTGTTATAACCCATTAAACCGTTTAAACCGAACTATTTTCAAACCGCAACCCGTTTAAACCGATCCGATTACAAACTATTTAAACCGAACCGTTTACAACCCGTTCCATTCAAATTGAACTATTTACAGCCTTTAACAATTTGTTAGAATTCCACGAAATATATTTGATGTTTAATGTAATTTAACAGTACAATTTTTTTTACATATAATTATTGATTTAAATTTGTAAATTTTTTTGCTATTATAAAATTAAAATTATATTCTTGTATAACTAAATTAGGAGTTATAAATTAAATAAAAAAATGAAAAAATTTGGCCACCCACCCAATCCAACCACCCTCCACCCACCCACCACCGTAACCCACCCTAACACCACCCCCGCCGTCACCCCAGACCCACCCTAACACTACCCCCACCCACCACCGTTACCGTAACCCACCCCCACCCCACCACCGTTACCGTAACCCACCCCCACCCCACCAACGTCAACCCAGACCCACCCTAACACCACCCCCGCACCCACCATAATTACCGTAACCCACCCCACCCCACCCCACCACCCACCGTAAATAAAAAAACCCAGACCCAAACCTTACCCAACCCCATCCACCACCGTCACCGTAAATAATAAAAACCCAGACCCATACCCCACCCCACCTACCACCATCACCAAAACGTACTCCACCCCACCCCCTTAACAAACCCCACCCCACCCCACCCACCACCGTCACTGTAAAAAAAAAAAAAAAAAAAAAAGACCCAACCCCAACCACACCTACCACCGTCACCGTAACACACCCCACCCCACCCCATACAAAAAAATCGAAAAAAAAACCCAAACCCACCATAACCCCACCCCACCCACCCCCACGAAACCCAACATCCTCGAAACCCCCCAACTCACTCTAATTGCTCACCCACCATAAAACTCCCTCCCTCGAAAAATCCTCCCTCCCCACCCACCCGAACCCAGTCTAACCGCCGCCGCACCCACCCTAACTCGGCCCCCTCCGTTGCCCACAACTTGAAAAAAAATTAAAAAGAAAAACAGAAAATAAAAAAAGGAAGAACGAAAACACCTTATATATTAATCCTGAATTTGGCCTCGAATTTGGTTTGAAAAGGCCAAATTCGATCATGAAACAACTAGATCTAGAGTTTCGTGGTCGAATTTGACCATAAAAACCGTCGTGCGTGGTGCCGGTGGACGGAGACAGAGAAACGAGATGGAAGAAAGGAGAACATAGACGGAAGAAGGGAGAAGAAGGAAGAATAAGAAAGGAAGAAGGAAGAGGAGATGAGAGAGAAAACGAGAGAGCAGTGAGCATATTATCAGCCATGGCTTCAAAAAATTGATAATATTACAGAAGAGGATTAAGAAAACGAGAGAGAAATCAAAAAGAGTACTAAAGAGACGATTGTAAGAGTGATCTGATTGGTGAAAAAGAAAACACACGGATCGTGAATTGGAATGTGTGCGATGATAGGTCGTTAGATGACATGCAAATCAATGGCTGATATTTAATATAAGACGGTGACACGGATCATGGGATAATGGATTTGGATAATATGTTTTTTTTTATTCATAGCTACGTACTAATAAAAACACTACTGTACTCTTAACTTTATGTAACTTATAAATTGTAAGAAACACAAATGTTTGGAAATTGGAATTGATTCAATATGACATATTTAATGTATATTAGTTATATGTATATCAGTATATGTAATAAATAATAATGTATGGTACGATTGGTATCATACTATCATTGGTATGTATAGATAATCGATAAATGTATCTGATTATTAAAACTTAAAACAGTTGATGATCGATCTAATTGAATACTTCTACTTCCCCACCCGTTTTCTTTAACTTGCAAGTTGCAACATATATATGTTGCAGCCTTGTAGGCACGTAATCTTAAAAGGTGATTAGAGAGGGTAAGACAACAAAGTAATTCAACAATATAACTTTAACACCAAAATTATGGAATAGTTACAAACAATTGTCAATTATTACTTTATTAGACTAATGGGAAATTGAATAATCGTGATTTTAATTAAACATCCAAATATAGTTCCGTAACATTAAATTATTAGTTTATTACAATATCAATTATCGATTTATCGTATTCAAAGTACCAATTCATCAAATCATGGTTATGACGCGATCTTTAAAACAAGAAGCTGATAGCCTGATAATATTTGATAATGAAACAATAATACATTAATACCTTATAAATTTGTAATAGACTAATATTTAATAAACAACAACAAGACTATAACCAAATTTGAAACATAACACATTAACATGATATAGAATGAATGAGAATTTCTGTAATTCTATATAATCTGATATCTGAATCGATTTATCGTATTCAAAGTAGCAACTCATCAAAACATGGTCATGACACGATATCTAAAACAATCCAACAAGAAGCTGATAACCTAAAAATATATATTTAATAATGAAACAATAATACATTATAAATTTGTAATAGACTAATATGATAATATCGAATAAACAACAACAAGAGTATAACCAAACTTGAAACATAACATATTAACATGATATAGAATAATTGAATAAATGAAGATTTGTGTAATTGTATATAATCCGATGTCTGAAAATAAAGTGACGAAGTCCCAACTTTATATAAAACGAAAATAGCTAACCGGTCAAAAATCTCTTAAAACCCAATTTCTACTCGATCCATTATTTTTTTCACCAACCTATGCCGACCCGCTAATGAAATGGAAATACTAGTCCCAACTTGATATAAAACAAAACGCGCTAACCGGTCAAAACCACTTTTTAGAACTCGATTTCAATCCGATCCAATTTAACCGATTACCAAACTAACCCGAACGATTTTAGCACCAAACCGAGTATAAACCGAACCGATATGAATCGAACTAGCATTAAACCGGGTAAACCCGCCCCTGAACCGACCCATTTTAAAATAATCCGTTCATGACCCGAACCGATATGAACCCGGACCGACGTTGACCCGGTAAAACCGCCCCTGAACCGATCCGTTTCAAACCGGTCAGATCATGACCCGATCCGTTTCAAACCGGTCAGATCATGACCCGAACCGTTTATAAACCGAACGGGCATTGACCCGGGTAAACCCGCCCCTGAACCGACTTGTTTCAAACCGACCCGATTATTAACCGAACCGTTTAAAAACCGAACCGGCATTGACCCGAGTAAATCCGCCCCTGAAGCAACCCGTTTCTAACCAATCTGATTATGACCCGAACTGTTTATAAACCGAACCGTTTATGACCCGAACCGAATTGAAATCGTACAAAAATAAACCGAAACCGAACCGACCTGTGACTAATCAAAACCGAACTGAACCGACCCGCCGTCTAAATGAAACCGTTTTAACCCGAACCGTTTCAAACCGAAACCGTATCAAACTGAGGTCAAACCGAACTGCCAGACCGAAGTCCCACCCCTAAATATAATACTTAATACTCGTATGTGTATGCCTGCTAATTTTCCAACTAAAAAATTTCATTTGAATCAGTGATTTGCTGATTAACATACTCTATCTCTATGTTTCAGGGTTTGACTTGTTTATTATCAGTTTAATTTCTAGGATTATTTATCATTAAGGGTCTGTTTTGATTTGTTAAATTAAATTGAATTGGACTGGACTAAATTAGACTAAATTGAGTTAAACTGAATTGTTTATGAGAGAAGGAAATTAGGAACATAACTGAATTGCTGAAGAGAACAAACCTTAAGTGGTTTTAAGGAATAAATGGATAAAGTAAGAAAGATTGTGAAAAAATTGAGTGAGTGTAATTAAGAAAAATGGTATGGTTGAAGGAAGTACTAATTTAAATAGGTTTTAAATCGCCAATGCTAACTCTATCTTCAATCATTAGTCTTTCAAGACAGAGGATATATATATATATATATATATATATATATATATATATATATATATATATATATATATATATATATATATATATATATATATATATATATATATATATATATATATATATATATATATATAGAACCAAGTTATAATGAGAATCAAGGCTAAAATAAGAACTAGGAACTAATCTAGGTCCTTAGATCATGTTAATCTGACGGCTCACATGCTTCTCGTGTCATTAATGACACTTTCGTAATATTTGAATGTTACAAACTTATTTACAGTTTTATTTCTAAAAAGTAAGTGAAAAGTTAGTAAAAATAAATTAAATCAGTCATAAAGTAAATGAAATTACCTTTAAAGTTAAAAAACTGGAAAAAAGTTTGAAAATCCGCAAAATTACGAAAATGTCATTAATGAAAGCGGGTGAGATGTGAGCCGTCAGATGGAGCACGATTAAAGGCTGAGATTGGTTCTTAGTTCCTATTATTCACCTTGGTTCTCACATGATCTCAACTATATATATATATATATATATATATATATATATAAATATATATATATATATATATATATATATATATATATATGTATGTATGTATGTATGTATGTATGTATGTATGTATGTATGTATGTATGTATGTATGTATATATATATATAAAGAAAACATTGGATCTATCTCCTTGTCTTATGCTACTAGAAGGTTTAAAACTTTCATAATTCTCTCCATTCCATAATTAAAACAAAAAACCGACTTTTATATGTGGACGACTATACTGTGTGGCCATCCATTTACGAAGTTACTTCGTTAGTATTATAAGAGTTACCCGATCAGCAGTGCTACACTGGTTACTTCGTCGGTGTTATGGGGGTTTACTCAGTCAATGTTACAAGAGTTATTATTTGAATCAGTATTATATATAAGGATTATTCGATCAGTATGATAAGTGTTACTTTGTTCTTCAGAAACGGTCACATGTATAACTAGCCGTACACTAAACACATTGACAATAATGACATTATCCTCGATCCCTCTACCCTTAATAAAACTCGATTGAATTAAAGAGGGTTATTAATGAGCTTGCTTAAGAAGGGTTTGAATTTATTAGAGATGAGCTTGGTGATAAATTTATAGAAGGTATTACACAACCCTATAAGCATGAATTCAAAAATTTTGCTAGGCACATCCATCTTAATTAGGTATGAGGGGGGATGAAAGAATTATTGATGGTCAAAAGAATTTTGTAATTCGTACAATACTGAATAATACATTCACCAACCTCGTATTTTAAATCCTCCCAAAAATTCTTGAAAAACTTTGGATATAATCAAGGAATACAAAGCCATTCAATTCTCTCTATCACCCTAAATTTTCATGTTAAATACGGATTTAGGCCATACCCGCAAACCTCATATTTATTTCCCTCCAATTACTCTCTCTCTCCTTTGTCACTGTTGTTTCCCCCTTCCCACATTAAACACAAAAACATCCTCTCCTCATTAACTCCTTCTCTGCCATGGCAGGAACGAATTGGATGCTTCAATTCGCGGTTCATTGCTGACCAAAGGTGAAAGTAAGCTCTGAGTTTCGCTCTCCTTTCATTTGTTATTGCATTAATACAAAATTTTAATTTTTCGAACAAAACCCTATGTTTCGCAATTTTAAGCAAATAACATCAATTATGTGCCAATTACCTAGCTCAATTGAAGTTCCTTGGAGAATTCACTGGGAAATTAAATATGGCCAACAATGGCTTCGATTTCGAGCAAGGAGGAAAGGGAAGAGAGTAGAGAGGGTAAAGAGGAGAGAGAAACATATAGAAAGAGAGAGTAATTGGAGGGAAAAGAGAGGGTGAGTGGTTTAAAGATGTCACGTGCGAGGCACGAGGTCAGGTCAACACTGGATTACAGGGTCAAACCCTCTTTTTCGGCCAAAGGTGTTGCCTTGCCAAAATAAAAAGATTAAAGTGTGTCATTGCACAAAAAAATTTCACAAACTTTTTATTAAATCGGGTGTTCACTATTTTAGTGAAAATCGAAAGGAAGCGTGAGTTTGGTGGCCCAATTTTGGCAAGTAAAAAATGAAATCTTATTTTCTCTCTCCTCTTTATTCTACAGATTCTCTTTCTTCTTCAATCTTCTTTTTCTCTGTTTTTTTCTCTCTCCTCTAGTTCTTATCTTCTTTTGTTTTTTCTCTCTCCTCTACTTCTCATCTTCTTTTGTTTTTCTCTCTCCTCTAATTTCTAGTGATAATCGATAATGTTGATGTTTCTGCTCTAGGTTAGTATTTGTACTTTTTTTTGTAAATTTTTCGTCGCTTTGCTTGGTGAGATGGTCGGAAATGGTAGAATCAACAATGGTTTCAACGCGATCGGCGTCGCTAACGGTGGTTCCGGCGGTGACTTTTGATTTGTTTGAGTGATTGTATAGATTTTTTTTCATGACTATTAATTTTTGTGTTTATTTCGTTAATTTTGATACTCTGTTTTGCATATGTAGTTTAATTACTTTTGTGAAAAAAGGTCACTTTTATGAAAAAAAGGTAACTTTTGTGAAAAAAGGGTCACTTTTGTGAAAAACAAAATCACTTTTGTGAAAAAAGGGTTATTTTTATGTAAAAAAGGGTCACTTTTGTGAAAATATGGAGCACTTTTGTACAAACAAAAAGGGTCACTTTTTGCAAAATGTTCGATGTGTAATAAAATTATTGTAAACCAGGGGCATGCAAAAGTTTTTGTAAAAATTTATAAGGTGGTTTGTTGTAAAAAAAAAATATTATAAATGGCAGTTTAATGCAAAATTTCCTTAAAAAAACAAGTAAGGTTAATAGAGGCAAATATACAAATATTTTAGAGGATATAATTATCAAACAGACAAACACTATTTATAAGTCTCATTTTTTAAAATTTATGGAATATCAAAGTTACTTATCTAAACCCAAGACTAAACCAAAAAAATGCTTGAAATCTAAAGAGAAATGTGCTTCATTTCTTCATTCTTAACGCATTTAACAGTAATTACATTCACAAATCATCAAACCAAAATCCTAACAAAAAGATCATACTCAATATCACGATCAATTCCTTTTCTCAAATCCAACTACAATTGCACAAACCCTTTTGTAAGCATAAATACAATTCATATTCATATATCCGATTCCAATATAGGTAAAACCGGATTGAAAACAAAAGGTCCGTAGGAGTAGAGGTTAACATTGTCCGGTTGGCGGACCGGGTTTACAAGAGGAGCACCGGCGAGGCCTTGATTGGTGTTTGTCGGTACACTGCAGTTGTTACCGTCGCCAGGTCTATCAAGGAACACCTTACAATCGCTGTAACGTTTAGCAGGCAAACTGATTGTGTAGTAACCATTTTCATTTGTCATTGTTGACTCTACTAAGTACCTTAGGCATGATACCCTTGCATATGCCCCTGCCAATTTTCAACAATTTTATGCTTCATTAATTTTACTAATCCATTTCTCAAAAAAAAAAAAAAAAAAAAAAAAAAAAAAAAAAAAAACTAATCCAAATCTTAACTTAGATTAAGCATTAAGGGCAACATAATATGTAGTTGTGTACATGAAAATATGTACTTCAATTACTTAATAGAATAACAAAAAAAAAAATGATTTATCATTGACAATTAATATAATTAGATGCCGTATTTTTAAAGGAACTATAAAAGGTTAATCTATATGAAACAATAAATCAAACAAAAATCCACATATATAAATAATAATCATCATCTTTTTTTGAAGAAAAATAATAATCATCATCTAAAACAAGAATTTTCATGGATAGTGAATTGAAACAAATGGATTACTTCTCTGTTCTTTATTCATCTAGTTTGACTTTTGTTTGTTTTTGGGAAAATAATTCAATTTCATCACTGATATTATGATATTATTGAATATTAAAATGATTTAAGCTGCAGAGATATTGTATTTGAAATTGTATCTCAAAAGCACTTAATTTTATAAATAATTAAAAATTCCATGATTTTGAATATTATGACAAATCTTAGTAGCGAAAAAGGAGTAAAAAAGAACGAAGGAAGTATTAATTAATCGACGATCTATTGGGTAAATAGCATCAAATACCAATAAATCTAAAAAATTATCATTACTACCAATTAATACTACTGCTAAATATAAAGAAATTAATGAAATCTAAATCTTACCTTTCATGGGAGTCCAATCATTTCCATCATAACTAACGCAGAAGATGGTGCCTTGTACCGTTGAAGGAACAATATTTTCTTGGGTGGTATTTTTGGATACATAGTTTTGTCGGTTAACATTTACTCTGTTTTTTGCAGAAGCAAAACCCAGAAATGCAAGAACAACAATAGTTGTTAAGATCTGAGATTGAGACATTTTACAACATAACAAATTATTGATTTTCAAGGTTACAACTTTAAGAAAACCTTTGGTCCAACAATAATAATATAATATAATATTATATAATATATGCTAATTGTATGATTTATAGTATTGATTATTTAACTAAAGTAGTTGCTTTAGGAAGGGGCAGTGGGGATAACTCGGTTAATTGCATGTTATTGTACAGCTCAGCACTAATTTTTAATGCCAAATTGCAAGCAAAGTTTAAAAAAGGCAGTGATTTTGATACTAACCAGCCAACCAATTCGGAATAAATCAAATTCATTTGACTTGTAGAATATTGGAACACTATTATAGAAATTTCACAAGATAATAAATGTGTTAGTTATGTGCATATTTAGGATCTGTTCAGAATTACTGAACTGAGCTAAACTAAACTAATTGGAGCTGAACTGAGCTGAACCGAACTGAGTAGAGGAAAACTGAACTGAAATGAAATTAAGCTGAAGAGAATCGGCCCTAAGTGAATAAGTTTATATTAATACTAGTTTTGTGCCCCGGCAATGCCCGGGTAGTTATGGACTTTTTTTTAAGATAAAATTATACTATTATAATTCAATTTGATTGAAAATAGAATTATAAATTAACTTTTTTTGCTACAAAGTCAATCTATATTTATCCAACTTGGTACGATACTTGGCGAAAAATTAAAACGCTAAATGATGTTGTCTTGTGGCCTAATTATAAATTTATTACTAGATGTAAGCCGTGCGATGCACGGTTCTAATAAATTATTTTATTTAATTTAAAATTTTGTATATTTATGAATATCATTCATTAAATATATGGATAAAATTTCTAATATCATAAGATAATTTTTTAATTTTAACACTAAAGTTATATTTTGTTATTTTATTAATTTTATGTGACACTTGAATTTAAAATCTCAAATCTTATTCACTAATTTTGCTTATGTGACAATTTAAATTTTTAATTCATAAAATAAATGACAAATCTAGTTTTTTTTATTGATCAAAATAAGTTTTTTGCCTATGTGTTTATGTAATATACTCATTCTGTTTAAAATGGTAGTCTCATTTATAATTGTTTAACTATTAAAAATTATGGGAAATTAGTCATGTGAGATTTAGTTTTATTCGTCTCGATGGGTACATTATTAAAATCAAACTTTTATAATATTTGCTAGGAAAAGATTAAAAATATTTGCGATAAAAAAATTGCATCCATATAGATAATTATTACTTAGTGTTTTTTTTTTGTTTTTTTTAAGAGAAGATAATTATTGGTTTTTTAAAATAATTTAAATTTTAATTATTCTCTATTCGTTGTTTTTACGTATGTGTCAAAATTCTTAAATATTATTCGTCACTTTTGCTTAGGTGGCGAGTAAATTTTTTAATTCTAAAATAAATTATTAATCTAATTTTTCATTGGACAAAATAATACCTTTTCTTATGTGGCGCGCCAAATGCTCCCGAAAAATGCCTACTTTATTTATATATATTAGATTTGGTATTTTATCGAAGAAATAACTCTAAACTAATAATCTTATTCTAAAATTCTATCCTAATTTGATTGAAAATAGGATTTTTATCTAATTTTTTTTTATCTTATGAAATCTATCCAAGGTGGCACGACACTTGATGGTTTTTTTTTTTTTTTTTTAATCATATGAAGTCTATCTAAGTATATTCAAGGTGGCGCGACACTCGACAAAAAGTTGGAATGCCAAGTGTTGTCGTCTCGTGGCCTGGCTAAAAGTTTAGCTTTATATATTAGTTATATGATTCAGGAATACAAATTATATAGGTTAGATTAAGAAATGGATTAATGTTCATATGAGGAGGTTATATATTACTTCCTCAAACAAATGGATTGGGCCTCTAAACTGATAATTGTAGCCCAACATTATAGACATCATAAGTTGAGGTCTCGAACTCCCAAATTGAGGCACATCGTTTCTAGGAACACCGACAGGGCACAAATTAGGCAATGAAACCCTCAATGATGGATCGTCACTTAAAGCAATAAACTGAATTACTGATTCAATACATGTACAAATCAAACAACCTCAGCTTTGTTCATAAGAAATTTTCACCAACACATAGACTCAAGTCAATGTGACTTATGTAAATCAAATGTAAGAAGAGTCCAAGTGTTTACCATAATATTCTCTATTATATATACAAAAAATGTCCATTTAAAATACTGTTGATTTTTACTTACTCTTTAAACATGAATGTAGTATAATTTAAAATAAGCACGCATCACGTGCACATAAATCTAGTAATAACATGATGCTAATGTTAAGTATTTATAGAGAATTGTGAGCAATGAGAAAAGGTGTGCACGAGCTATATCGTGTCAACATCCCTTTAATACTTCCTCCATTCTTTTATAGTTGACACTTTTGAATTTTAACAATATTTACAAACTCTACTTAAACTAACTTTGTGATTAATTAGTTATGATAAAACATAGTTATGTGGGGCTTTGTTATAACCATTTCAATGTTTATCTTTACAATATCAAACTTGACAAAAAAAATTTAGTAGATAGAGATATTAATTATTTGTCTTCAATTCCTTAATTAAGGGCACTTCAAGTCTTCAATACTAGGGAGTCATATATGGTAGTTGCTCGTTTTAAGCACGAACAAGGTTTAGATGAATCGGATACTAAATAGGACACCCAAAAACAATGATGTGTATCAAGATAAGGACCTTCAAAGAACTGGACCTTGTTCAACGGGCCGGGCCGGACAGGGCTTTATCTAGAATGGGCCGGGCCGGGCCAAGCCTAATCCAAAATGAGCCGATATTGACCATGGGTCATTAAGCCCGGCCCGGCCCATTTAAAATGTATAAACAATCCAAAACAACCATAAAGTAGACACAATATAAGAGAATTATAAAGGGCCTTGCAACCAGAAAACCATTTCTGTTAAATTAAATAGCAACTCTAATGATATGGAAGTTATTAAGCTTCTTACATTAGGAGCACCGGAAACTATTTTACCCACATCTTTTTTACAGGCTATCAACTCCTCCATGAGACTGTAATTTGTATGAAGACCTACGGAAATGAAGTTGCTTATAACAAAACCACCCAAAAAAAAAAGGTCTACAGCAGAAGTTTTCAGAGATGCAGAGCGCTTACGGCCAGATGTATCACATAGAACAATATCAAATTTGTCTTCTTTTCCTCTTTTAACAGCCTAAGTAAGAACTATTCAGAAAGCACAATCTTAAGGTCAGTTTGCACTGTCATCTGTCATCAGCCACTACAATTTCCCACCTGACGATGCTTTTGCCTTCTCTTTCTCTTCCACTACAATTTCACAATCTGTTCGCTCAGCCCAGATCTCAAGCTGATCGCTTGCAGCAGCTCGAAATGTATCACCTGCTGCCAATAGTATCTGGAACAATAGATAACATGAGGTCAAGCAAATATAGATTTAGCACTGTTAATGCCCCTTCCATAGCTGAAAAATATCCCTCTTATGATGTTAATAAAAAAATTTCTAAGAATTTTGTACTGTAGATTATTCATCAGTATTTGCACTACTCAGGTCTTTTATAAAGTATGAATGAGTATTTCTCACTATTTAGTAACTCCCATAGAAAAACAAGCTACTCACACAAAAGAAACAAAAAAAAAAAAAAATCACAGTTTAAGCACTAAGGCAAAGCTCGAGGGAAAGAATCCAAATTAACCTTAGCTCCTTCTTTCTTCAATCTATGAGCCAACTTCCCTGCAAAGAAAGATAGGATATAAGATACTCCGTAATAGTTATAACATGATTAAAAGCTCAGCAGCCCAGATAATTTTAACTATGCAAATAATTCCTCTGTATTGTATTTTTTTCTTTTTTTACTACACTGCTTTTTATTATAAAAGGGCCTTTAAAGGGCCTTGCTTTAGTAACAGTTGATCTCACAGGTGACAGTTCACCAACAAAGCGAGCCAATAAGGTAACATTCTCAGGCAACCAACTAAAACAAAAGAATAAGTTTAACAACCATGGTTCGTTCAAGTCAAAAGACCACAGAAATGCAGCCCTAGTCCAGCCCTTTTATAAAAGCAATAAAAAGCAAAATAAAAACAATTACCTAGTATAGGAAACTATCATCAACCTCATCATCATCATCTCCATCATCAACGGACTCATCATCATCCGAGCTAGAATCACAATCCAAATTTGAAGGGATGTTATATTCATCACGACGCCAATCTTGAACACAAACTAGGGCTTGAACCGTTGAGGGTTTCAATGAGCTACGATTAGGAGATATAGTTTTCCCCCTACACTAAAAGCCGACTCGGAAGCCACCGTACTAACCGGAATTGTTAGAAGATCTCGTGCCAATATTGCAAGCTCCGAAAATCTCACGGCATTTTGTTGCCAATACTCTAAAATATCTAGCTCCATGTCCAAATCAAGCTCCGATTCCTTCAAATATGACTCAAGTTGGGACTTTTTTGTTTGAGTCCTTGTAATTCTTGAACTATAGCTTTGATAATCATCAAAGAAGTTTTCATCTTCAATCCTACTACTTGTAGTAGAGGGAACAACAATTGGGGAAGTTGAAAATGTTGACTTATACTCATTATACAAAGATCTTAAAGTGTTCAACACTTTTTCAACTTTACACATAGCCTCATCCAAACCATATATCTTGTCAAAACAATACTCCACAAACTTTAACTTAAACCTTGGATCAAGAATTGCCGCACAAGCTAGATATATGTTATACTCGGACCAATATTTGTCAAATTTTTCCAACATAGGTAACACTATTTGAGCTAAAAATTCATGTGGACCTTTAGATGTCTCAAGTAAACGACGATGCACCATACATGCTCCCTTAAAATACATGTTAGAAGTTGGAGACTTATTGGCCGAGAACATACATGTAACATCATAAAAGAGTTTCAAAAACTTGTGAACAACACTCAAATTTTCCCATTCATCATCTAAAGGCACATTACTCTTGAAATATGCATGTAATGACCCCAAATGAATAAACACATCTTTATAGTAAAGCACATTATCATGCATCATATATGCAGAGTTCTAACGAACTTGCATGTCCATACGAAGTTTCCTCTTAGCCTCTAAATGAAAATGCTTTTGAGCGGTATCATAAAAGTCCTTGCTTCTAGAAGATGTTCTTGTAACAAATTTTACCAAGTTTCTAATCTTATCTAATATGTTCTCAATACAAGATAGACCGGATTGGACAATAAGATTGATGATATGAGCACAACATCTTATATGAAAAAAACAACCACCACTAACCAACATACCCCTTGATCCAAGACGATTTTTCATGTGTTTAACCATCACATCATTGTAACTTGCATTGTCAACCGTTAAGCTAAGTACTTTGTCATCTAAATGTCATTGATTAAGAAACATAAAAATCTCTTCGGAGATGCTTTGTCCATCAAAGGGGGGCGACAATGATGTGAACTTAATAATCCTTTTATGAAGTTTCCAATCATGATCAATAAAATGGGCGGTTATGCAAATGTAATGTTGCCAAGTATGTGATGACTTCCAATTATCAATTGTCAAACAAATTCGTCCGGGTGCATTCCTCAAATTTTTTTTTTTTTATTTTGTCTCTATTAGAGGCATACAAAGAAAAAAGGTCTCTTGTTAAAGTTGCTCGACTAAATGGTTTAAATTTAGAATTAGCCTTTAACATCATCCGCCTAAAACCTTTTTCTTTTACAGTCGAAAAAGAATGAGAGCCTTCAACAACATATAATAAAATCTCTTTTCTTAATTCACTCATATCAAAAACAAATTCTTCCTCATCCTCAACCGCCTCCCCAAGTGGAAGTCCACTAGTTCGTTTTTTACACACATCAAGCAAATGACGTATTAAATGAGATGTGCCACTATTATTGTGGGCAATTAACTCCACTTTACAATGCTTACAAATAGCGATTCGCTCACCTTTTGCATTCTTTCCTTCCGTCATTTCTCGCCAAACTTTAGATTTCCTACTCCTTTTACGCTTACGGGCGGCATTAGATTCATCAGCCTCATCATCTACCTGCATTGACATTGTAGTTGCTTCACTTTCCATGGTTAAAAAAACTGCAAAAGTAGGTATGGGAAAGTCAAAGACCGTAATAAAAACATATAAGGATAGCACTTAAATGGGAGAGAGACATAATTAATTAGACATGAATTTTAATAATGAAAGTTGAGCTTTAAACTAATGGTTTGGTTAAATTTTGGGCCCATTCTAAAGCCCAACTTTCATGCTACAACAACAATACATCATTAGTCACAGAATGATTTGGAGTCGGGTAACATGAATCATCGTAAGCCAAAAGGAACCATTTGAAAAGAACAATAGCATGACGAGGTAATCATAATAAATAAAGAAAAATTAATACTACAAAATTGACAATTTCTTATGGTTGATGAATGAATGAACAGGTGACAAAGTTCAAGTGTGGAGGGTTTGCACTAGGCCTATGCATGAACCATTGTATGTTTGATGGAATAACAGCCATGGAATTCGTAAACTCATGGGGCGAAACAGCCCGAGGACTATCCCTTAACATACCACCCTTCCTAGACAGGGAAATCCTAAACATGCGAGACCCCCCTAAGGTTGAGTTCAAGCACCAAGAATTCGAGGAAATTGAGGACATCTCTGGCACCAGTAACTTGTACAATGAGGAAATGCAATACCGGTCATTCTGTTTTGAACCAAAATACTTAGAGAAGCTTAAGTTTATAACGGTAAAGTTTATGACTCAATCATATATCAAATTAGTCAATTTCAATGAGAAAATTGCATAGGAAACTACATTAATCTTCTCATTAACAATGAAAATCGAGCAGAATTGAGCAGAAGGTGATAAATTGCATAAATGTGCGAAATCGAACAAACAAATTGAACAAACAAACTGATCGAGAAGAATTGAGCGAAATCGAACAACATACCTTGGTAATTGAAGTGATATGACGGAATCAAGGATTGAAAGCGGCAAGCAAGAAGGTGATAAATTGAAGATTTAGAATTTGGGAATTTTTTTAGGGTTCATCATTTGGGGGAAATAGGGGATTTTTAAAGGAATTTTTTTTTTTTTTTGAAACTGACGTTAGAAAGTTTTAGAAATAAACAGAAAATTTAGGATAAAAAAGCCTCATAAGTGTTATCTAATTTCAGTCCTTTTTAAGTTAGAGCCAACCATTTAAAGCCCATTATTTAATAGCCCTTTAAAAGCCCGCCCCATTTAAATGTTGGATGGGTAAAACCCTTTTATAAAAGGGCTGGACTAGGGCTTTAAATGGGCCCCTAACCCATTAAACAGGTTTACTGAAAACTAACCAGGACATCCAAGAGTAGTCAGTCTTATGCACAGAAAGAGGTTGAATTCTGGTTAACAACCACGAGATAAAAACAGAGGTCCCAAATCCCAAACATAGTAAAGAACGCTAACGAAAGACTAAAGTTTATTTCAATTACTAGGTAAGATCCCGTGTCATGCACAAAATTTTTTAATTATTATTTTAAATTAACAATGTATTACGATGTAGTAAATTTAATACGGAGTATAATAATGGATTTATAATAAAAGAGCCTTGCCAAACGGATATTTTAAGAATACGCATTTGACTATATACATCCTTTGAGATGCTCGGTTCGAGTTATCTCGGATTGGCCTTCCGGCTCGGTCTCTCCAATATTGCGAGAATGACACGTGTAATTGCTGGTGTGCCTTTTAGTATATAGTTATTGATTAATTGATTTCAATTATAATAAGCATTTTTTCCCTATTATCACTAGCTTCACAGCAATAAGAACAAGCTAATCCATAACATTTGAAATTGGTCATCAAACACACCTCTAGATCAAGCAATAAAGCTCTTCAAGTCCTCTTCAACAGTGCATCTGTATCATATACTTTGGATAAAAGACTTGCTTCGGCTTGGAAAAGAAATTACAACTAAAATTGAGAAATCATGGGACTTTGTAGCTGTGATGAATATCAGAGCAATTGCATCACCAAAAACTCCCTTCCGGAGTGAGGCATACAAGCAGGCCACCTCCGTGAAACAATATTCAAGTTGGTGCACTTAGCCATTCAAAACGAAGAACACAATCACACATCTCTGCTGCGAAACTTCTGATAGAAATTCTAATGATAGGAGCAGTATTATTCTTGAGCTGACATTGGTAAATGACAGTCATAAGCAAACTCCTAACATGGTAACACCTCCACTCCCCCCCTCCTCGGAAAAAAAGACCATGTGTAGCACTTAACATAATTTTTACAACAGCTATAAAGACCATGGAGTACATCAAGTCAAAAGGTGCTGCCACTAGAAAGTGATCAGAAGCAGTGTAGACTTTACAGGTTTCAAGGTTTGCTAAGCTAAGCCAATACTCAAATTTTGAATTGCACTTAAATCACACAAGAGTATTTAGAAGAAATCACTCTTTCTGGTAACATCATAGCACTTCACAACTAGTAGGGAAAGAAAACAGAAAACAAGAGATAACAGATAAGTACCTCGTATTACTAATAAGTCGACACCAACTTCCACCAAGAAATACCCATCACAGTCCACATATTATAATAATCATCTATTGTTGAAAGTTAGAACCGATTTGCATAGGTCATGATCTCAAAAGAGTTTCCAAGTCCGTCCAAACCTTTAAGAATAAATCTCTAAATACCCTGGTTTTTTTTTCCAATACATTAAACTTAACTTCTACTCAATGCAAAGCAACAAAGTAAGGGCATTGCAATGAAACCTTCCCAATCACATTGACCTATAAGTCCTACAACCTTTTCTGGTTCATTTTGAAGGGGAATTAAAGTTTGAGAATATTGGAAATTGTTTTGATGAAAAAAGGAAAAATTGTAAAAAAAATCACCTTTTATAACAACCTTTTTTTTTTTTTTGTAAAAAAACACCTTATAATTTTTTTTTGTAAAAGAACACCTAAAGGCGCTTTTTTTTTGTGATATCACACCTTAATCCGGTTTCCGTCCTTTGACTTGGTTTTCAGGCATTGACTTGCACGTGAGAAGCACGTGTTGTTCCGGGGAGTTCCCCCTTTTCTTTTTTTTTTTCCCCCTAATTTACCCATTTCTCCAATTTAACTTTCTCTCTCATCCCTTCTTCTTCAACAAAATCCTAATTATTCACCATTGATGAAGAAATCTGCATTTTAAAGCATGAATTGTTGCAATTAACCTAAATTCAAGTAGGGTAAGTTGTTGTAATGACTGAAATTTCTTGTAAATTATGTTGGGTTTTTGAATTTTCATAAATTAGGGTTTGTAATTGAAAATTAGGGTTCTTCGTTTTTGCCCACAAATGATGAAATTAGGAGTAATTTTGAGAGGCCAATGTACACCAATCGTGTTTTCTCTATTGGGCTTTAATGGAAGAAGGGGATGAAGAGGTGAAGTGGGGTTTTTGGGTGGATGGGGCTGAATAAATGGGGTGCAATTTTCATGGGAGCATATTGGTTGAGATGGTGTTGGTGAGAGTGGTAGTGAATTAGTGGTGGCGGTGAGGTGGTGTTGGTGGGGGTGACAGTGAGGTGGCGGTGAGGGAAAAGAGAAAAAAATAAAGGAAGAAGATCACGTGACCCACATGTGCAAAGTCAATGTCGGAAAACCAAGTCAAAAACCGGAAACCGGGTTAAGGTGTTACTTCGCAAAAAAAAAAAAAGTGGTTTTAGGTGCGTTTTTACAAGAAAATTTTTATAAGGTGTTTTTTCGCAAAAAAGGTGTTATAAAAGGTGGTTTTTTGCAATTTTTCCTTGAAAATAACAGTATTAACATTGTCTGATACCTTATGCACTGACTAACATAAAGAAGCATTAGAACTTGGCAACACCTTTAAGATTGGCATTTGCATCTTTCTACATTGAGCGACTCCACTGTAGAACCAGTCAATTGAGCATAAACTTCATGGACTTCCTTAAATGGCAGAACAAACCTTTTCAAGAACACAGACTCAGACAAGGAAACAACAGAAGAAAGAAGATAATCCATCCTTAAAAGCCCTTTCTCCTTCAAAATCTGTAAGACTCGATGTCTTGGCAATAATCTCTTCTCCATGCTACATATAAATAATTTAGTCTGCATTGCTAAATAATCGGGCTTGTAACCCATTTGGTTCATCAGATAGTGTAGTCTTTCCTTGATCATCGCCTCTGAACCAGTGAAACACATAGGATTTTGCCTGATCAATTTCATGATATCAGAATGTGTCCATCCAAAACTCTTAAATACTTCAAATTTATCCTTGATATTCTTCTCACCAAAGCAAAGAAGAAAAGTGACACCATACAAGAACATCGAAGAGTCTCGAGGCATCCCTAAGTTTAGTTCAACCTTAATTAAGGTATCTCAAAGCAAATCAGTTGTCACTATTGTTTCTGCAAGGATCCAAGGACCCAACTCCAAGATTCAAAGCCTGAGTATATGACCCACTTTGCTCCTATCGGCCGGACGAGAACCTACACACAGAAAAGAGGTCAGCTAACCCCGGGGTGAATCCGGGGATAACCACTCCGATGACTAAGTCGACAAGTGTTTATAAAAAGAGGATAGAAATTTTATAGAGAGAAAGAAGAGAGAGAAAGAGAGAGAAATTAATGCTCTCCTTTGTTATGGGGTAAAACCGGATTATTTATATCTTGATTAAGCGACAGGTGGCAGCATGATACGCAAAGTAGTTTTCGCCACGTGTCAAATGTGAGGGCGACACGTGTCAGCCGCCGACAAGCCGATACGTATACTTTTTCCATAAACGCCGATATGAGTGAAATTGCCGATGACCCGGATTCGGGCAATATATCGGCCTACCACACAATATCGGTCCGAGTGTAAATATCTCCCCATACAACTAGCCCCCCAAGTGAGGACGTTGAATATATAGTGAACGTTCTCACTTGTATACATTATATATTTGAGATTTTCTTTTAACGGGAGTAATATAGCGTTTTCTTGCACTCTGTTGAGCATTTTTGTTTTTATAGTGTATATGAATATTTAGGATGACTTCTGGTATATTGTTCTGCATTTGAAGGGTAAAAAGTATGGGTATGTAGTATCAAGTAAGATGGGAGAAGCAAACAAGGTTTACTTTAAATATAACCGGGTTGGGAGCGAAAAAACTCCGTTTTCCCCCTAAGTAACCTTGTTTGCCGTTAGCAAACAAGGTTTACTTTAAGTATAACCAGGCTGGGAGCGAAAAAACTCCGTTTTCCCCCCTAAGTAACCTTGTTTGCCGTTAGCAAACAAGGTTTACTCTAAGTATAACCAGGCTGGGAGCGAAAAAACTTCGTTTTCCCCCCTAAGTAACTTGTTTGCCGTTAGAAAACAAGGTTTACTTTAAGTATACGATTGGAAGCTAAATGTTTGTATATGGGTGACTTAAAATTTTAGCGGGAAAATTACATAAATATATGGCACGTGTCGATGATCTAATGAATTATTTTTCAAATTCCCATTTTATTTTAACCGTTGGATTTTTGACAGTGTGTCGCATCAAACGTCACCTTTTAACCTTCCTTATTAACTCTTTTCTTTCAGTTTTTTTTTTTTTTTTTTTTTTTTTTTGTTTTTTTTTGTTTTTTTTACTTTTTACTTTTCACATTCTCACATTCTTCTCATAAAAAATTAGTTTCTTTAATTTGAGCGATATTTGTTAGAGAAAACTGCGATATTTATTGGGGAAAACTGCAATTGGACTTTGCCGGAGCCTTTATCAGAGAAAGAACTATAAATAATTAGGCTGCCGAATAATGTGTTTCTGGATTGTTTCACTAGAAATGCCACAATACTTTTGCAATAGTTATAATTAGCTGCACATTGATAATTCCGACCTGATTTCTTGAGAACTGTAACAACATTCTCATCACTACCCAAAAAAATCTTAGGAGCAATATCCTTGGATTTCTTACAATAGTTTGAACCAGATTAGACTCGGACATACCCAGGTCATTAAGAAGCTGAATATTGGGTTTGAGAGTTGTATCAACCCTAGAGACTAAAATCAAGGGTTCACGATTAATGATTTTCTGAAAATCAGATTGCTGAAACCCAAGTTGTTTGAAGAATTGAACAACAGAATCAACTTTTTTTAAAGAAATTGAATTCAGCAGCATTGTTGGTCTCTCTCGGTTTCCAGATTTTAGCGAACTTAATTAGCGAAAAAGGAGAGAGATTGATGATTGGAGAAACCCAGATTAGTAACTAAGAAATTTGCTAATGAGGTAGAGAATGAAGAAGAAGAAGGAGGGTTACCTTGATTGGTTAGAGAAGTTGTTGTTTAGTAAAACAATGGATGGCGCAGGTAGAAGCAGAGGCTTCGGACGCTATAGGAGCAGCTCCGGAGCTTCAACATTTGCACATCTTTTTGGGAATTAAATGGGCAATATCCTATACTCATTAAGCATAAAGCTAGGCTTCGGAGGGCTGGTATTGCGACAGATCTTACTGCTATTCCTCGGATATGAAAAAAACTGCATTTGAATGAGGAAGAGGGTGCAATTGTGGACTTAGGAGCAATTGGATCGTCTCAATCCTCGGACAAATACCATCTTATGCTGATTGGAAAATTGATAACTGATAGACCTTACGATGTTGAGGCATTCAAATCTACAATGACAAAGTCTTGGAAATTGAAAAACAGAGTAGTGATTAGGGTTCTTGTCCCTAATCTATTTGTGTTCCAATTTTTTCATTGAAGAGATAAGGAAAAGGTTCTGGAATAAGGAAGGCCATGGTGCTTTGATAATCTTCTCCTTGTTCTGAAAGAAGTGGAGGGCGATGAGCAATCGGAAAAAATTATGATGGCTCATTCTCCATTCTGGGTTCGAATAAAGCATTTACCTTTCAACTGTCGATCGGATGAAGATGTAAAGGAGCTTGTGGCGAGTATGGGTGAGGTCCTTGAGATCGAGAAGGATTTGCTAGGCTTGGAATGTTTTCAAAGGGTTATAGTGATGATCAACATCACGAAACCCTTAAGACGCTGCCAGAGAATTCGAGACAAGGGAGGGAAAGAGATTCTGATTGAATTTGCTTATGAGAGGCTCCTTTTTTTATGTTTTGCGTGTGGGATTATTGGTCATGCTGAGAAAGACTGTGATTTGGTCTCGGAGGAGTCGAAGAAGAAGCAATTAGGGTGGGGAAGATGGCTTAAGGCGTCCCCAAGAAAGGGGCGTATGAAGGAGTTGGAAGAAATTGATGCGGTTATGGTGGTTAGAAAGAAACTCTTTATGTTGAAGGAGGATGAGGAGAGGGAAGTGAGTGAGGGTTCTAAGGAGTTGGAGGAGGTAGTGGTTGCTGAGAAGTGAGGGAGAGGGAGTGTGCTACAGCTGACTAATGCTCAGCTTAATGCGAACGAGGGAAGTGTTGCGGAGGTGACTGATGGGGTGTAACAGCAACAATTAATGGGTGATGTCCCTATCGTGTTTGCTATTGGGAAGGGGAACAGTGCTGAAAAGGAGGTAGGAAAGAAGAGAAGGAGGATTCCTAGAGGAGTGGGTAGTGGAGAGGGGAATGATATGGAGGTAGAAGTGAATAAAGATGATAAAAAGAGAGGTAGGGAGAGGGAGTTTGGTGTGGAACAGGAAGGTATTAATAAGAAGCTCGTTACTGAAGATGGTTGGCGATTGGCGGGGGTTGACTTGGAGCAACCCTGCCGAGCCCAATGAGAATTTTGAGCCTCAATTGTAGAGGGTTGGGCAACCCCTCTGCAGTGAGTAATCTCCGTGATTTAATTCGGAGAGAGGCCCCGTCTTTGATATTTTTATCGGAGACAAAATTAAGTAGTGTAGAATTTCGAAGAGTGCATGCAAATTTAGGTGATTTTGATGGTTTGTCAGTTGATTCTAGAGGGTGTTCGGGTGGTCTTGCTTTACTTTAGAGGAAAGGGGTGGATGTTCACTTACGTTCTATGTCTCTTCACCATATTGATGTTGAAATTCGTGGGGGTTTGGGTGAGGAAGTGTGGAGGTTAACGGGGTTCTATGGTTGGACGGAAGTTGGAAATAGACACTTATCATGGTCTTTGCTTCGTGATCTTCATTCCCAATCCCATCTTCCTTGGGCGTGCATTGGAGATTTCAATGAGATTTTGTTTGCCTCGGAAAAGAATGGTGGAAACGATAGGGCGGAATGGCAAATGGCCAACTTTAGAGCGGCGGTTGACTTTTGTGGACTCCGGAGTGCAGCCTTCTCGGGTTATGATATTACTTATGACAATGGGAGGGGTGAACATGAAAATACTCAATGTCGTTTGGATAGGGCATTGACTAATGATTCTTGGTTTGCGTCCTTCCCCGAAGCTCATGGTATTCACATTGACCGCGAGTGGTCGGACCACGCCCCCATTAAACTGGTCCTTTTCTCGCAGCCTTCATTTTCTCTCGGTGATAAACCCTTCAGGTTCGAGCAGTTTTGGCAGCAAGACGAGGGGTGTGCAAATGTAGTGGAGAGTTCTTGGGTTGGTGGGCTTAGTTTGGACTCCAAGTTGGCGATGTGTGCTGCTAATTTAAAGGAATGGAGCACAAATAAATTTGGTGCAACATTTCGTGAGGTTAGAAAGAAGAGAAAGAAGTTGCAAAAGCTGAATAGAGGGGGTTTGACAGCGGTACAGTTGGAGCAGCGAAGGTGTATCCTTCGTGACATTGAGGGGCTGATTAAGCATGAAGAAACGTATTGGAGACAGAGGTCAAGGGTGACATGGCTTGCGAAGGGAGACCGCAATACAAAGTTCTTCCATCAGAGAGCTTCAGGTAGAAAAAGAAAAAATATTATTCGTTCTTTGAAGGACTCCAATGGTGATCTTAAGTCAAGGGATGAGGAGATTGGGAGGATTACTGTGGATTACTTCACAAATTTATTTTCTTCTTCTAATCCTTCTATGATTGAATTAGCTCTGCAAGATTTTCAAAGTAGGGTGACGGACGATATGAATGTTGTATTAAGAATAGAGTTGTACACAGTTTGGTCTGAACCGTAACCAAACCAGACCAAACCGCATTTTAGCGGTTTGGTTTGGTTTACGGTTTGAAAAAATACGGTTTGGTTTCGATTTTTTGGGAAATACGGTTGCGGTTTGGTTTGGTTTTTCAAAAATTATAAACCAAACCAAACCGTAAACCAATAAACCGCATTTTAATATTTATATAATTTTTAAATAAATTAAAATAGTTATTATATAATATAAAAAAATAAAAAATGAAAAAAAATGAAAAATCATTAGAAGACTATAAGGTCAGTATACTACTATACTCTATACTCAATCTCAAATATCAATACTTAAAATTCAATAGGTCATATAACTATAATGTAGTATGAATTATTTTTTTGGACAAATGTATTATGTTTTTTTCCACTGTTAATTTGTTATGTATTATTTTTATTATGTGTTATTGTGTTAGCACTTAGCACTTGATTAGTTGGTTGTTATTTTTATTTAAAAATTTGTAGTATAATTCAATCCATTTGGGCTAATTATTTGAACTTTATTATAAGTTTATTAATATTTGACAATTTTTAGGAAAAAATGTCGTCTCATCGTAAACCGCAAACCAAACCGCACCAAACCGCATTATTACGGTTTGGTTTGGTTTGGTTTGGTTTCAATACTAATCTGGTTTGGTTTGGTTTGGTTTGAAAAATTTACCAAACCGTATTTTGCGGTTTGGTTTGGTTTAGACTCAAACCGCACCAAACCAGACCATGTCCACCCCTAATTAAGAAGGCCGTACTCTGCGGATGAGGTGAAATTTGCTCTTGATCAGATGCATCCTATCAAAGCCCCGGGTCCGGATGGAATGTGTCCATTATTTTTTCAAACTTATTGGCATATTGTTGGTCCGTCGGTTACTTGTTCGGTGCTTGCTATATTACAGGGTGAGCCTATTTCTGATTTTCTTAATAAAACTTTTATTGCTCTAATTCCGAAAAAAAACATTGTTGATCAAATGTCGGACTTTAGACCTATTTCATTGTGCAATGTGATCTATAAGCTAGTCTCAAAAGTTCTTGCTAATAGACTAAAAGTGTTTCTTGATAAAATTATTTCCGTTAATCAAAGTGCTTTTACTCCGGGTAGATTGATTATGGATAATATTTTAGTCGCTTTTGAGATGTTCCATCACATGAAAAATTTGAGTTCTAAGGAGGGTTGCATGGCAATGAAATTAGATATTTCAAAGGCTTATGATAGAATTGAATGGGATTTTTTGGAAACAGTTCTGAACAAGTTTGGTTTTGATCAGAGTTGGTCTAGGTGTGTGATAAATTGTGTGTGGTCTGTGTCTTTCTCGATGTTGATTAATGGTAAACTGTGGGGAATAATTTCAAGCGTTAACCCCCTTAGTTTGAACCCCACTGTGACCATACACTAAAGTACGGTGGCATCCAAAAGGGAAGAAGATAGAGCAAAAGAGTCGCCAACAAGTTTTAGGAACTTGTAAACCGCTCACGGGGTGAAGGTTACACCCCTTAACGATCCAAGAGATCGTCAAATCCATAAGGTCTTGAACCAAATAAGGGTTCGGGGATGAAGGTACAAATCCAACCTAAAAGAGATTGAACCTGCCCTAATAATAGGCCTCTACTTTATTCTGATCGTATTCATGTGCGCTTTCTGACTAACATGCAGTCAATAGGATTAAACCCTAAACATGTTTAACTATGTTGGTTTGAATTTAATGCATAAATAAATCTATTATTGGCGATCACTCGAATTATAATCATATTAACCCTAACAAGATTATTAATTATCTTATTAAGCGTGATTACAAATACTAATTCCCTTTAAACATGCATAAAAGGCGTGATCAAGCAATAACAATAAATATCAAGCAACATAATCATCATAATCATAATAACAAATTATAATTAAAATAATAATAATAATATTCATAATCATGTTAAAGCATAATAATAGCAAGATCCTAGGCATGATACTAACAAGATTAATAACAAACCCTAGCATGTCATTAAACATCAAAGATCAAATCTTTAGCCCTAACATGATACTAACAATCATAAATATTAGGAAGAACATAAAAGACATCATGACAATCATACTTAATATTGAAATTACCCTAGAGATGATACTAGGAATCAAAATAACAACCTAAGC